TCTGAGTTTCAGCTCTGAAAGGCAAATTACTTGGCAAGTAAATAGATTAGAAATATTTGCAAAGAAGTTTCCTCTGACACTACAAGAAAAAAAACATCCCTACTTCTTGCATACAATTAGTATCATACCACAGTTGTGTAGGTAGAAGCTTCGCTTCAACATGTAACATCCTTTACCTGGTTAAAGCGAAATCCAACAGTCAAGGGATGAGATGTGTCCAGGCCAATGAAACTTATAGCACATATGTACTTCTCTTTTTCCTCCAAGCCCATCTTTGACATAGAAGATGTTACCATGGGTGAGGACTGAAGAGGCACTGGGTTAAAGAGTGGGGTCTGGGTAGGAATCAGTGCAGAATTTCAGTGGGAGTGAGGTTAGGAAAGGGGCTTAAAAGGACAAACAGCACTGGAGAGTATTTGTGGGAGGTTTGGTGTGGGTGGTATATGGAAGCAGAGCTCTCTCTCCCCCCCTTCTCCTCACTAAACCCATGCACTCTCAAGTGATCTGATGTCTGGATAAGTAAGAACATGTCCAAGCCTGCTGTGAGGATTGTTGTCTAAGGATGCAGTCCTTCACAGATGTCTTCCTGGACAAGACGCAGTGTCTCCGCAGCCACCTGCCCCACTCTCACCCCAGCTGTGCTTACCTGCCCTCCTGTGCTGCTGCGCAAGCGAGGAGAGCAGCAAAGGTCTTCCCCTAAGCTGTGCTACAGAGCTCGCCATGCCAGCTGCCAGGCTGCTGGAGCCATGTACTCCAGGTCTGCATGACCAACTCCCCTCTTCCCTAGTGCAATTTAAACCATAACCCTCCCTTCCAGAGGCCGCATTGCCACCCCAGCCAGGCCACTGAGCTGGTCCTCACAAGGGGAATCAGCCACTTTGCTTAAACGATTTCCCTTGGCAGAAGAGCACCTGAGCAACCCAGCAGAAGACATATAGGTTACAGTGTGTCCTAGCTTCACAGTCAGCAACCTGCCTGGATGCAATAAAGTATGTAAGTATATTAGCTTGACACCAAGCTAAAGACCCTGGAGCTCTAGGGACCTGCACAGAGCAACAAGGAAATTGAATTAAGGTCTGAATTAGCTCCCGTAAAACCAGGCTTTGTTCCTAGAGAATGCCTGGCTGGTGAAGGACCTTGGGCAAGGCAGGAGATTGATGGCTCCAAATGTGTTAATTTTATTGAAAACTGTGCAGAAACAGTAACATAATTTTTAGCTGTGACAGTCGGAGGATACAGGCCAGGTTT